GCCCGCACCTCGCTCAGCCAGTGAGTGGCCGGTCTGTATATGGGGTCCGAACCCTCGGTGGGAGCGCCGCCGCGCTCCCAAGCGGCGCACTGTAGCAGTGCGCCACTGGGCCGGCCCCTGGTGTTATGTTTTTAATTTCAAATTCCTATTGTTCATTTTTTGTATATAGGAAAGTGACCTACTCTCTGTTTTCTTGGTTAGCCTGGCTAGAGTTTCATTAATTTTATTAATCTTTTCAAATACACAGCTTTTGGTTTTGTTGATTTTCTCTATTGTTTTCTCATTTTAAATCTCATTGGTTTTTCCTTTTTTTTTTTTTTTTTTTCTTTTGGTGGCTGGCCAGTACAAGGATCAAACCCTCAACCCTATCAGCACCACACTCTAACCAACTGAGTTAACTGGCCAGCCCTAAATTTCACTGGTTTCTTCTCTAACTTTTATAATTAGTTTTGTTTTAGTTATAAACATAACATAAAGTAATGTGGAACCTAAAGTACATGTATTTAATTATTCATCTTAAAACATTTCTTTTGTTATATTTGCTAATAAATTCATAAGGAACAAAGAATGCTTAAGTCTACATAAAAGGGCTTAATCTCAAATGAAGCAAAATGCATAAGTAATCAGCAAAATTATTCATGTAATTTATTTCATGCAAAGCTACATTATTTCCTCTATTTTAACAGCTAATCAAATAAACATTTCAAAAACCTCATTACATCACAATAAGTTAAAATACTACAAAGGAATTGCAAGTCAGTGAGTTTGTCAAAACCAGACTGGGAGAACATTATGCATAGATAAGGCCAAAAATGTCTACTTATAAGTAGCACTTTGCAGCTTTTTCCAAATACGTATTTTAAAATGTAGTGAGCATCTGCAGAGAAAAACAGTTAAATCTACAACCCAATGGTCAGACAGGAAAACATGTGTCATTACATATTAGGTAGTAATAGCTGATTAAAGATAAATTTGGCATCATGCACCAAAAATGAACAGTTATTAACATTTTGAAAAATTATGATCAGATGCATATTTGAAAAGATTTATCTTTTCTTGCACCTAATCGGCTGGATTAGATAAAAGCAAAATAACAAGTAGATTATTAATGCAATGCAGAAATTAGGATTTTGGTATACTTTGCTTAGGTACTGATATATATAAAAAGATACTGAAGAGATGTAGAAGTATTTCAAATTCACATCGGACTACTGAATTTTAGAATATTGTCCAAAGGAAATAGGTCTCAACACAACTTATTTCAGAAAGATTTTTAAATGATTTAAAAGAAACACTACAATTACTTACAAAGACATTTATAAAAATTAAATACCAGGTAGTAACACATTAATATTAGAGCTCTTTTGTATTTTCAACACTATAATTTATAAATATATATTAGATTACAGTAATTTAAAAGAGAGGTTCACATATTCTCTACCTTCTAAAATGAAAAAAATCCTTCAAGTTGTTTTCAAAATATGGACAAAAACAAATCCATTGGATTATTTTTAAAAAATAAATACACAGTCTCTCCCCTACAACTTGTTATACTAAGTAGGGAAGATGATAGCCAGCATTCTTTTGAGAAATACAGCTCTTAGTGAGTAGGTTGATAAGATTTGTGTCAATATTATCAACTCTAAATGGTTTTGTACAGTCAGTCTAATAATTTATGACTTTACCCTACATATGTATGCCCTAGTAAACCATTCTTTCTACTCTTTTGCATGAAGTACAGTAAAATTCTCCTTTTCCAAAATGATTTGAGATAACCACAAAAGAAAAGATTTTCAGGGGAAAACAGTTCATTTTCCTCAAGGAGTGTGTTAAAAACAAATATCTTTTAGGATATGAGTGAGACAAGGAACATGCCAATAGTCTTAATTTACGAACAAATTTAAAAACTAAAGCAAGGCCTCAATCAACATCAATGGACAAATCTTTTAGAAATGAAAATAAAATTCTAGTTAAACCAGACTGAGCATAGGAGGAATAAGAGGTGGACATGTTCCCACTACAACACGACAGGACTAGTGCCTGCCCTCCTGAGGGAGATGGCTCCTAGGGCCTGGTCTCCAGAAGCTGGGAAAGGGGATAACACTGCCTAGTTGTCCAAGTCTCTGGGTAGAAAAAAGTCACAGAGTTGGAAATGTGTACCCTACAAAGATGGCAACTCATATTTTAGAAAGCCTCCTGTAACCCTCTTATATTGTTCCAACTCTTCTAAAGAAAAATTTTTTGACAATGTATGTTATTTATGAATTCCTTTTCATAAACAGAGGTTATAAGGTTTTTAATGTTTTGGGTTTTTTTACAATCACTTTTTTTGGAAATTCATTTTTATGCAAAAACATCACACTGAAAACAATTCATTTTACTGAAGTGTCCCCCTTCACGACCTAAAAGACAGCACAGTGAGCCAGCATATTTCACCCTCACATTCAGATGTTGCTTAGTTATCTAGCAAAACCTGTTTCACTACTTTAGTTACCATACTGCTATTTCAAGTAGTGGGATTTGTAGTTGGAACTAGTTCCCTTTGAGTGTACTGCTCATCAAAAACAACTGTGTACACAAAACAAACAGAATAACAATCTGTCAGCACATTAAAAGTTGTAGAGAGGCTTCAGGGTGGAAGAGAGGTATACAAGGAATAAGAGAGAGAAAAAGAAAAGAAAGGAAAGACAAAACCCTAAATCCGTTCACTTCTTAACATTTAGAATTTAATATAAATTAAATTCTACACTTTGGAGATTCAAGTATGCTAAGGTTTTTCAGGGACATGTTCCGCCTCTTAGTACAAATATATTTATGCTTGTGATTTTCAGGCATGGTCCACTCAAATCACAAGTAAAGAATTCTCCTTACTAAACTGTGTAAAATATAGAGTTTATATTTCCTTTAATATGGTAATCGATATATCATCAAGAACATTCCCTAGACCTATCAAAGTTATAAATAACCAACATAAATAAAATTCCTTCATTAATACACTAAAATAAACCTTAAAAAAAAAATCACACAAGTTGATCCACATTTAATTTAGGTACACGTCCAGCTTAAATTTCAGAACTGATGATCTAATCCAATAGTACAGTCCAAAAACAAATCAATCAGCAGAATTTCTTTTTGAATGTTTAGATTGTCAAATTCTCTAATCTATTCTTTAAAAAAGGGAAAAGACTAGAGTGTTTTAATCTAGCTCTTGCTACTTTTGTGAAAAGAGGCCTCTGTGTGATGAAATTATTCTAAAGCCCTTAAATTCATTTGGTAGTAGAGCAAATTTTAATAATTAGACTTACACTTTATTTCTTATTTTAAGAATGTTTTTAGAAAAATGCTCTATTGATAACAAGTTATTTATATAATAAAAAAGTTAATTAGCAACTTACAGGTGATTCATGAAATTAATAAATTATTATTTTCTGTAATGGTTATTTTGAATTACTCGTTTACTTACTGAATATCCTTACCTAACAACTATTTTTAAAAATAATTCAGAAAATTCGAATCAGACATTTATTATCATGTAAGAAAAAACATTAAAAATTGCCAGAAATAATTCAAGAAATGAACTTTGCATGTAAAGTATATTAATTTAGTAGTAATGTTTTACAGTAGATGTCATTACATTTTAATAAGCTTCTCCAAAAAGAAAACTTTTTGTACATTTTACAGTTTTTTACATATAGTGGCTTTATGTAAAAAAACTTAGTTCCTCAGCAATAAACTCTCAGTCTTCAGGGATTAAATCACTGTCTCATGAACTTGAGTTTACCCAGCATGGTAACCTTTCTATATGATTGTATATAAAATCCTGTAAGACATATTCTGCTTAAAAAGTTGAAGACTCTTGATCACTGAAACAACCAAAATTTATTTTGGAAATAACCCAGAAGTCATAAAGGGATCTATACTGTTTGTGAAGTGTATGTGTAATAATTGTGTGTATATAATAACTGAAGTGTATATACTTACACACACATTGAAGTGTGTATATATGCATATAAACATATACACAAAAAAATTAATAATAAAGGAAATAATGTTCTCTTACACATGCCTATCAATTTATATATATAAGGCATTTGAAAAACTAGTTATAAAAGTAAATGGATCATTTCTTCTTTTCTGCTTCAACATAGGATGTAAAAAGAAAGGGTGGGGGATGTAAGACACATCCAGGAGATTAATCAATTTAATAACCACTTGATTATTGAACATAAATAAAATATTCTAGGGTTTTTGCTATCTATAGGCAATACTACAATAAACATCTTCATGCATATATTGGGATGTAAAAAGAAAGGGTGGGGGATGTAAGACACATCCAGGAGATTAATCAATTTAATAACCACTTGATTATTGAACATAAATAGAATATTCTAGGGTTTTTGCTATCTATAGGCAATACTACAATAAACATCTTCATGCATATATTTTGCTTTGTTTGTTTCCTCATAGCATAGTAGCCAAAAGCACAGATTCTGCAGCCTGTCTTGCCATTTACAAGCTGTTTGAATCTAGGGAAGTTACTGACCCTCTCTGGATTTAAATCCAATTAGATCTGCAACCATAAAATAGAATATTGTTTTTAAAGTGCTTAAAATAGTGTCTAACAGCCAGACATAGTTACACAGCTGTTGCTAAATATAACAAATTTCATAAGTGGGATTTATATGTAGGTATATAAATATTGTTATGTTACTTTGATATATATTTCAATTTTTCTTTCTTATTTATAATACCCTAATATTGTATGAAGATACCAATTCCAATAACTACTACTGGATGCTATGATTTTTAAAATATAAAAGGATTAGAAGGTATAAAGAAATATAGAAGCTACTTAATACGTTTTTAGTAGAAGTAAAGATAAACATTTTCCTTATGTTTATTTATCACTTGCTTTCAACACTGCCAAACCAAATGTTATTAAAATTCCAAAGAATGCTAGAGCCAAAATGACACAGCCAGAACTTACCTTCCTGAGGCAGATTCAAGAGGATCATCAGTGAACGTTTCTGCATTAAAGTCCAAAGGTTCTGCATCTTGGAGAAGTTCTATTCGGTCCCTTTCAGTCCTATTATTAGCTCTGGTATATTTGGTTGCTGCTGCAAAGGGAGAAAAAAAAATGTCTATTTTCCTATTGTCTTTTAACTTACGGGTCATAGTCTATGGACTCACAGAAAGAAAAATCAAGATTACAAAGGATCTGAATTTTGACTGAAGACAAACAACATGAGAAAAGATAATTACGTGGATTCTTAAAAATCAAATTAAAATTTTAAACACTATAATCAAAAATAACAAGGAAAATTTCTCTAGCTTTGTAGCTAGTTTAATCTTAGAAGCAGATACAGAGCAAAGACTTAATTGATATAAATCAGAATTAATACTTAACTAAGGTAAACAGTGAAACTATTCATTATCAAATCGAGCTTCCGTTGGCTTCACAGTAAATCTCATTTCTTGGCTAAGACTTGACTTTATAGTGTAATCAACTTAAGCTCTTCAAGACAGGCCTGAGTCTTTTTCCCATGAGGCAAGAGTAAGGGTACCACTGGCCAATAAAAATAAAATGCAAGCCCCATATTTAATGTAAAATTTTCTACTAGTTACACTAAAAAGTAAAAAAAAAAAAAGTGAAATTAATTTTAATATACTTAATTTAATACAATGTATCCAAAATATCATTTCAACATGGGTACCAGCCACATTGCAATTATCATCTAGTAAGCACAGATTTAGAAAACTAACTCTCCCTTCACTTCGTGATTTCTTCATAAACAACCTAATTTCTCACAATGGCATTTCGAACATCCAAGTACCTTTAAAACAACTTTATAAAATAGTTCTTTTTGAAAACTTCAGGAGAGCCAATTCTATCATATTTTACATTTTTGTGATCTTGAACTCTGCCCTAAAATGCAAGTCTCTGCATCTTTTCTCTCGTTCATTCAGCAAATAGCAGTTGCTCACCACATGCCAGGTTCTAACTCTTCATCCAATGGCTTTGTGCCTCCTCTTCGCTTAACCATTTTCCCATATTCCCAGATCTTTCCATTCTGTAAACTTCCACTCTATGGTAAGCAAGCATTCAAATCCCTTTAAAGAATCTTCCCTCTGCTTCCTAGCTTTAACTAAAGTTTTAGCCCTCTTCTATTCATTCTACCCTAAATATCACTCAAATAAATTCTTTTCTCTTCATCTCCAGGATCACTGCCTTATTTTAGGCCTTTATCATTTCTTGATTGCATTACTAAAACAGACTCTAAGATGGTTTCTATGCCTCACTTCCCTAAATATCATGCTTTATACTTCACCTTTCTAAACCAAAAATCTTATCATGCTTCTTCCCAGATTGAAATCTTACCTTTATTAGGATAAAATCCAAACTTTTGAGCATGACAATATCTGTTACCTAACTATCCTCTGTGTCCTCCCCTCATGCTTAGGCTCTAGTCACAGAAAAGCATGTATTTCCCCAAAGGGTCTCTCATATCAGGATGTCCTGCACTTACTCTTCCTCCTTATTAACAACACCCTTCACCTGACTAAGTACTATTCATTCCTAAATACTCAGCGAAATATATCTTTATTATAGAAATATTTCCTGACTATAGAAACTTTTCCCAAGACCCGCAAGCTGAGTCCCTTCAGCATCAGGTTTGCATCCTTCTATCATATCTCTCATGACGTCTACAATATTATTAAACAGCCCATCATTAATATATTTCTAAAATTTCTACTTAGTTATTTTGTATAGTTTACATATCTCTGGTGAGTTCCCCCTTCCTCCCATCTGTTCATGCACATTATCTAAGCTTTCCATTAGATCTTTTAACATACTAATTGGTTATTTTAAAATCACTGTACTGTTTGATAATTCCAACATTTGAGCAATCTCTAGGTCTGATATGTTGACTATTTTACATTTTAAAGATGACTCATATTTTCTTGCTTTTTTGTGTATATCATAATTTTTAGTTAGACATTGTGTATATAAGAAAGTAGACATTGTGTGTATAAGACAGTAGAGATAGAGATAAATGATAGTTATGCCCCAAATGGGCACACCTCTTCTATTAAGTCATCAGTGTTGAGGGACTGAATCAATCTAATCCGCAGTTGATCTGGGTTTGGATTTTGTTGTTACTTCAGTTCCCTTAAGTATCCCCAGGCTTCACATCTCTCCAGTGATGGACTGCCATTACCTATGCTTAGCAGAGGCTCAAGTGTCAGATGGTTTCTCTCAGTATTTTTTTTCCACCCTCAGATTTCTGTAGTCTCTACATGCCTATGCCACAGAGGGAATCCCTTTCCATTTTTTTCTCCTCCTCCAACAGTAGACTACTGTTGCTTGATACTCAGTGCAGAACTCATAGTTGGGTCAGAGGATGTGCTCAGTTTTCCTGCTCCATCCTCAGTCTTATGCAGGCCCCTGTGCACTGAAGCCACAGTGGTGGGGCTCTCTCAGCATTTTTACATCTCTCCTAAAAACAAACAAACTCTACCTTCTACTCAATGAAAGGTCCTTGGCAAAAGTAGGTTTCTTGGCATCTCCCCAGAGGCAAACGACTTCTGCCTCATGTCAATAGAGGGTCAGTAATATGGGGAGGTTTCCTCACCCACCCCAGTGTCAGATGGCTTCTGCCTGGTGTCACTCCCTAATTACAAGCATCCTGAAGATAAGAAATTTATCTCCTTTGTATTACTGTATATTGGAGAAGAGCCTGACATATTCATATATGGTTCAGTCAGTAAATTATTATAAAATGACTGAATAACCTACATCTACTAATATAAAAGTAAAAACATCAAAGTAAAATAGAAATAAGAATCGAATATGCTTAAGATAAGTGTTTTTATTATTTAGGTTAGTATACTTACAACTACGTATGTATTTGATGCCCCAGTTTCTCCTTCCCCTACCAGAATACATATTTGAGTTTCTCCTTCTTTCTATATAGTGAGGAATGTGAGAAAGACAAGTCACTGCTGATGCATTTTTACAATTCTGCAAAGGAATTTCTGGAGAGGTAACCTAACTTTCAGTCTCTATGCAAACTAGCATAAGAAAAAAGTTTCTAAGCAAACTAGAAAATAAACTACTTACACCGGTTGGTATTAATATCTGAGAAGTTTGACTCTTTTGGGTCAGTATGAACGTTTCTGTTCCTAGTAGAATCTTCTCTATTGTGTCCATACCGTTCTTTCCATTCCTAGGAAAGAAACACCAATGAATATATAACAAAAGAACAGAAAATAATTAATCAGTGTCAGTAGACTATATATGCAGAGTAATATAATTTAATTCTTCTTCATCAGAAATTCATTAGTAAGCAGTACAATTACCATAGTGCCTTTAAAAGTCACAGGTCAATGTTTCAAAGTTTTTATCTTTACATGATTTAAAATCACGGTCTATAAACTTTTTTACAAATAAAGACACATCGATATTTTTGCTAGTTATGATTATGTTATTCTTCCATCTAAAATGTCAAAACAATAATACAACTACAGCAAGTTTACCTCGACCATGTAAAAGTTATGAGAATGCATGATAATTAGTAAGTTATTAAAAATTTTTTTTCATTCAAACTAAAAATATTAAAGAAGTGAAAAGTCATTTTCAGGGCTGGCCCGGTGGCGCACTGCTACAGTGCGCCGCTTGGGAGTGCAGCGGCGCTCCCGCCGAGGGTTCGGATCCCACATACAGACCGGTTCCCGCTCACTGGCTGAGCGAGGTGCGGGCGCGACACCGAGGGTTGCGATCCGTTGCCGGACACGAAAAAAGACAAAAAGGAAAAAAAAAAAAAAGTCATTTTCAATAGCTTAATTAAAGTTGTATACAAACTCTGTGACTCACATGGTATTGTGAGTTACCCTAAATTCAGTAAAACCATGTTAGCTGGGATTCTACCCATTAAATTTTTAGAACTGAAAGGAACATTAGAGGTCACCTAATTCAACCTTCCATGCAGTGCAGGGTCTCATTCTAAAAAAATCCCTACCAGATGCTTTTTGGCTCTCTGACTAGATGACATGAAATTTTCTATGTCCGAGCAGTTTATAGCAATCTTGGTAAACTGTGGAAGTTAGAAATTCTCACAGAGAGGTGAAATCTATCTCCAATAACTTCTACTCTTTTTGTTCTAGTTATGCCTTCTGAAATAAAGAACAAGTCCCCCTTTACATGATATATACTAAAATATACGAAGACAACTATCAGGTCTCCTTTTAGGCTTCATTTCTTCAGGATAGATACACCCAGGTGTTAAAAATTTGTGGTAACTGTGACTAGATTTTTCTCAGTTTTTGCCTTTTCACTCTCTAGGAAAAGGTTAGTTTGCCTCAGCAAATGGAGGACTGAAGAAAAGTTAAGGAGAATTAAAAATTAATGTCATGCTACAAAAGAAGTGTAACAATTTTAAAGTGATCATACATTTATTCATTCATTCAACAAATATTTACTGAGCATCTACCTTAGGCAAGAAACTGCTTGATTTTGGATATTTATTAACCAATGATTTTTTAGAACAGGTTTGACAGAACACCTAGCATGTATATCTGAAAGTATTAAAATTCCTCTTCTTTAAAAAAAAAATATATATATATATATATATATTTATTATAGAACTCCATGTGAGTTCTCACTGTTTTTCTGTCTTTAGACGCCTAGCATGTATATCTGAAAGTATTAAAATTCCTCTTCTTTAAAAAAAAAAAAATATATATATATATTTATTATAGAACTCCATGTGAGTTCTCACTGTTTTTCTGTCTTTAGACAATTATCCCAAATCAGTAACATTCTTATGATATTTCACATTAATCTTTAGGTTACACCAATTTAATAAATAGTGGACTTACTCTTCTTCGATTTTCACCTTCTTCTTGCCTTTGCCTTTTTCTCTTCTCTAGAGATAGAAAAATGGTCTCAACTTTGATATAACACGGTTTAATTAGACACAGAGTAACTGAAGTAAACATATCAGCCTATGACTAATATTTCCTTTAAATTACTGCAAAATCAAATGTAATAGGTTATTGTTGGAAAGGACCTGTGAGTTCACCTCACCCCACAGAGAATATCTTCTCTATTTTTGTTGGAGATAGCCCTGTAGTCTCTGTCTAAATAGCTTTAGTGAAGGAAAAAGTCCTTCCTCATGATGATTGGAAATTTGCTTCTCTGTAACTTCTATTCTCTTTTAGTCCTATCTTCTAAATTAAGTTCATACTTTTCTTTCTGTACAACAGTCTTTTACCTTTTTACTCTCTTCAGGTTATAATATACTCAGTGTTTTTTTCTTCCATAGGATATGCTCTACAGTCTCATAATTCTGTCTGTCTTTCTCTAAATATCTTCTAATTTACCAATCTTACCAATAAATCTTGAAAATCTTAGCCAGGACTAGATGTGATAGGCCAGATTTGGTCTAATTAATACAAAAAGCAGTAGAACATCAACACTACATCAATTAGACACCACCTTCCTATGAGAGCATGTGAAGTCTTATTTTGGTGCCATAATAAATTTCGGCTTACATTCAACTAATAACCACATAAAAGCCCCAGACCCAGGTAGGGAGAATGTCTAGAACCAATGTCCTAAAAGTCAAGTTTTTTCCCCACCCTACCATCACTCGAACATCAGTAAATTTATTTAATATATTCGGTTTTGTGATTAGATTCTAGGAGAGTGCCATGTATTCTAATAGGCTATTAATGATCATCACATTCTAAAAAATAGCCTTGGCTTGAATGATTTCCCATCTAGTATCAAACTGATAATTCTTTAAATTAATGAGTTTTACAGCTGTTTAGAAATTGGCAAATATGTTTCAAGACAAACATGAAAATAACAACAAGACCATAAAGGGTATTATTTAATTGCAAACATACTAATAACTGCAGAATTTCTTAGATAGATGAAACAACTTTTCATGTTTTCAAATTATTTTTGCTAAGAAGGCTGTATGTAGATTTGTATCCAAAAAAACATTTAATTTATACTTTCTTTAGACTAAAATTTACTTACAAATTATATAAACATTAATTTTGTATTTTGAGTCTTAGCACTTAGCATTTCCCTTCATTTATTTTAAAAGACAAATCTTACCTCGTCTGACTAATTCTTTTCCTTCATCAACTAAGTCTGATGTCATATCATTATCTCCCATGAACTGCTGGAAACCAAGAAGATTCAGACAGCGGGTTCCCAAACTAACAAAAGTAGATTTTTAAAAAGACAAGCATTATTTCACATGGCAAATATTTAGATAAGCTGTTTATAAGCATTGTCACCCCCAAAGAAGCCTATGCTTCATTACTGCAAGTTACACAGAGTTACATCTGTTGTTCTTCAAGAAGTACTTATCTCCCTTTCTAAGAAGCTTATGCCCAGTACTTCACTGACTAGGGTATGCATTCTGACTAGGGTATGCATTCTACCCAGATTTCTTATGGAAGTAAATTAAGTCAAGTCATTAGCATAGCTTCAGAAAACAATTTTATCAGGATACTAAACGATGACTACAAGGGCAAATTATTCTTTTCTTATATTCATCTTCGCATCCTCGTGGGAATACTGTACTCCAGGATGAGAAGCCCTGAACTAAGTCACTGTCTCTGGGAAGGTTTTATCTTTGTCTAAAGTGTCAAGAAACAATCTTATGCTGTCTAGGCAATTAAGTCTGAATATTAGCTCTGGGTATGGCTGTGTTGCTAATAATATGGAAATTGGACTAATTATGGCAACATTTCAAATGAAAATGGACCTATATATCAAACTACCATTGAAATATCAGTAAGGCACTGTTTCATATATTTCTATAATAAAATATCTATTTTGTGAAATAATTTGAAAATTCAGTACAATCTCTTCTCCTTAAAGATAAAATGGCATTCACAGTTTATCCTGATTAAATCTAGAAAAATACCTTCAGTGATCATTTCTAACCATTTTCCTTTAACCATAATGATTGCTTATACTTAAGATTTTGTAGTTGACAAAGCACTATCCTACTATATATCACTTGATCCATATATAGCCATCTAATAAGGTAGAAAGAAATGCTAATCTTGACAACATAACTACTGACATGAAAAGATATCATCCATATATCACAAGTTCTTAACGTTCCATTAGTAGTTTTACAAACTTTTAAAATGAATAAGCATATAATCAAAACTAAGTTTTGGGGCCGGCCCGTGGCTCACTCGGGAGAGTGCGGTGCTGATAACACCAAGGCCACGGGTTCGGATCCCATATAGGGATGGCCGGTTAGCTCACTGGGTGAGCGTGGTGCTGACAACACCAAGTCAAGGGTTAAGATCCCCTTACTGGTCATCTTTAAAAAAAAAACAAAACTAAGTTTTGGACATACAAAGTATGATTAGTCTCTTCCTTTAATATATCATTTTTACAGTGTAAATATATTATTGTCTTTTCTACCTTAAAGAAAACACTCAAAATATTAGATTTGCTATCATTTCATATTAATAGTATTAGGTTATAATCTTTTAGCTGCTTTACTTATGAGAAGGTAAAATATAAATTTTTTTAAAATTCAACAGAGAATTTATTTTAAACAATATCTGTTTACTCATAACCATAATATTAGTACTTATTATTTGTAATAACTATATATTGGTATTGGAAGATTTAGGTAAAATGTGGGCACTATTTTTTCATTAGAAAAGCAAACTGATTAACATTAATGAAGTGTTTTTGGAAAAGTAGTATTTTTGGTGTGTCATGGAACACTTAAGCAATGAAAGAGGGCAGACAAAGAGTACAGGATGAGGACACCTGACGTGTGAAAGTAGGGAAGATTGGGTGCTAGAAGCCAAGCACACCTGTCCTGAACTTCTTTTGAATCCTAACCCTGCCAAGATTCTACCTTTCTTTCTAATCCCATAAAAAGAGCAGCCCAGGTACTTTCAAGAACTAGGGGAAATTTTCTCCTGCAGTTCTACATGTACTGCTTGAATTACACAATTGCTCCTCACCTAACCCTTTGTGCTGGCCATGGTCTGAAGCATCTAGAAACCCAGCAATAATTATGGGAAAGGCCTAAGACTAATTTATATTACTGAAAAGAAGCTGGGCATGAGGGTGTTTGGCAAGATGCACTGGCAGACAGTATTAAAGGCCAAGAGTTAGAGTTAACATTCTGTAACTAACCCTATCATTTTCTAGCCTAATTATTTGTAATAGAATAACTCTACCTCTCTTTTCTTTCAAATATCTTTAGAGGAAGAACCAAGCCTGATCATTAAAGCAATACCTTCAAACAACCCTCAGCTTCCCAAAAGCCATAATAAAACAAACAACTAAAACCCAACCACTAAATATTTAAAAGAGCTTTAAGGAGAAAAGATATACAAATTCAAGTAAGAGTATGAGAAAAAATAATGTTAAGTTCCCTACCTAAAATAAGTAGCAATGCAGAGAATTACCACCAACATAGGGTAATATATATAGAATCCATCTGCAATAAAGGATAAAACTTTCATGGAACCCATAATCTGAAGAGCAAGAAAAAAGTTAAATCAGCATAGTTCTGTACTTCATTTCTTTCCCTCATTAAAAAATTTATCTGTAACCAGTTATATCAATAAATTTAAACTTTTCAAAAAGTAGAAACAAAGCACCAAATAAACTAATTTTTTAAAATTTGCCTTTTATTAAGGTTTTCTCCTAAGAAAAATTAATATTTTATAAATATTACTCAAAATTATCATACATATTAAGACCATAATATATGTTAATATTATTATAGGTCAGGTCTTTTGATACTGCTCAACTAGACAATCTATAGGAACCAAAAAACATTTTTTTATAATAAAAGATGCAAAATCACTTTCATCCAGTCATTAGTAATTATATATACAACCTTTAAGAGAAAGTTTTGGTTATTTTAAAAAGGGTCCAATAATGCTATAAAACTTTTCTGCCAGCATTAAAAGAAATTTAACAAAAAATAACATTTCATATAGATAATGAATCTAAAGAACTCTGTTTTCTGACTATACTTACAGATGTATATGCAGTTGGCTGAGTATTCTGGTGAGAGATGGATGAATCCATATGGGTCAAACCCAAGAAATTAAGACATAAAGGAGGGGTCAAACGGCAAAATAACCTTCAGTAAACATTGAAAAAAACAAATTATATAAAAAACAAAGCAGCAAAATACATTTTATATTGTACTAAAATGTATTAAGAACATTTCAGATCATTGTAGCTATATTTTACCTATTCATATGATATGTATTTTGAATTCTCAATGTGAACTGGGAAACATTCTAAAAACCCGAAGAATCACATCCCTCTTAAACATATCAACACCTACATGGCAAAACTACAGCCTCAGGCTGCCTGCGTTGGTGGTGGTTGCCACTGCTTTATACTCATCATTTGTGGAGTGCCTTTGCATGCATCTCCTTCAACTCTGCCATCTGTGTAGTCCATCTTATAACATGACAAGGACAGTAACATCCTCAAGGTGAACTGTACTCAGTACATAAAAGATCTGAAGTTGTTTATCATTCTGGCAAGTACAGGTATAAAGAATTGTTCAGTTTTGTCCGGATAAAAAGATCATTTTACAAAACTAAAGAGTTGGAGAATTGAGGGTGGGGAAAATAGGGGTGTGTAAATAAAAAAAGGTAATATGAAGGAGTTCTTTTGTGGTGATAGAACAGTTCTGTATCTTGATTGTGGCGGGAGTTACAGCAATCTACACACACACGTGTCACACACATGCACAAATGAATGAAAGATGATGAGAACTAAATAAGCTCTGTAGTATAGTTAACAGTAATGTTCCAATGTAAATTTCCTAGTTTTGATATTGTATAACAGCTATATAAGATGTCACTATGGGAGAAGCTTGGTGAAGTTTACATAGGACTCTTTGTACTATGTTTGCAACTTCCAGTGAGTCCATAATTATTTGGGAAATAAAGGCCTTAAAGATGTTTCAGATATCAATTCCTCTGTGAACTTCCTTAAGTCTAGCCTTCATAAATATGTAATATCACTGATTTAACAATAAGGACAAACAATAGATTGTGCAACCTAGCCCTAGCTAGAGCCATCTCTCTAAACTATCTCTAAATTTCTTAGGAAAAATTGTTCTTAATGGTTTTCTTACTCCTTCTCAATTCAGTTCAAGGCCACTGAAACTCAGAACACTAGGTCTGACCTAGTCTCTAAACTCTCAATTGTTCCTACCATTTACTAATCTATTTAATGAGTCTCTACTTGGTAAATCCAGGTTCACTATGTCTTTCTTCTCCCACCTAACCTAGCATACCTATTTTAACTTTAAACCTCAAGAAGGATTTAGCTGGCAATCAAGAAACATCTATTTAATATTTAAACCTAATTAATTAGCTCATAGGAATACAGGTGTTAGTGGAACAGCCATAGACAACAAGAAATAAAAGAGAGATTCATAAGAAAACATGTAACAGAGACATTTCTATTATTTCTGAACACAATCCTACTTACATGCCACTGAAAAGAAGGCTGTATGCATCAGTCTGGTGATGTGAAGCCAAGTAATAATAGTTAAATACACGAATCCTGAACACAGTAGAATAAACACAGATACTCAGGAAGAAAATGGAAAGGAAGCAAGCAATCTGGAAAAAATAAAAACATAACAGTTTGTGTAAGAATAACAGACTTTAAACTAGCACTTCATAAACTACCCACAAGCATTATCCTTGATTCCAGTTAATATTTATAGATGTTCTAAAATTTAAATATGAGGGTACTTCAAAAAGTTCATGGAAAGATGGAACTAAAGATCATATGAATCTTTCCATGAACTTTTTGAAGACCCCTCACACAGCAATAGAGATTTTTAAAATCAGCTAAGAAAATGAAATATGAAAACAACCTACATTTCAGCCAGTTCAACATTCTATATCAATAATTTCAAATCTACCTCCTATAGTGAACCTGTTCTCCCATTCCCTTGGTAACTTTTCACATAAACACTATAAGTTATATAGCTTTACTAGCATAAAGAGAATCAAAGTATCCTAAAAAAAATTTTGCACTGCCCTGCCCCTTTTCATCTTTCTCAAATACAGCTCTTAGTTTTTATACTCTGGGTAAATTGATAAAGCTCATTTTTGGAAGTTTGTATAATAACACTGTGGGAAACTTCACTGATTTAATTATTACTGGAAGAAATACATGGAGAAAAGATACAACAGTTAAGGATTATACTATAAATAGATATTTGTGACAGACACAAAATACACTGACCTCAATATAAATATAATTGTATGTTTTTTCTGCCAACTGTATGAAGACTGCAAAGAGGGATAAGACAGGAGTAGTGCTAAAGAATGTGCACTCTGACCACACAACAATCACAGAAAAGATAGACAGAACCACAGCAAGTATCCTGTAAAACCAAGGTCGCAAAAGACATTCCCAGTACCATTCTGGAAGACAAAAGAAAAAATGATTAGAAAAACTATAAAGTAATAACAAGGAGTATTGTTTCAAAATATTTCTTAACAAAATACTTAATTACAAAAAGAAAAATAGCAATTTTACAGTGGAGAAATCAAGTAGACATCACCCTAAGCAAATGAGCACCAGTAATGGGACAGACATCATGTGCCTCCTGCAATAATGTACTGAGAAGAACACAACATCACTGCTGTGGTATTCTTCAAAAAAATGCAGAACCTGCATCACTGCCTTGTACTCTCTAAAAGCAGCTATGTCATGAAACACAAAGACTGAGAAACTGTTCCAGATTAAAGGACACTAAGGAGACATGACAACTGAATGCAATGTATGACGTAGGATTTTTTTTTTACAAAGAAAACTATTGGGATAATTAGCAAAATCTGAATAAGGTCTGCAAATAATAGTATAGTATCTATATTAATTTCCTGATTTGCATAACTGTACTTGGTTATGTACAGCTTATTTTTATTTTTAGAAAATACACACTGAAACATTTAGGGGCAAAGAGGCATCATGTCTGGATACAATTTTGAAAGTGTAAGAAAAAACATATAAAGCAAATGAAAAGGTAAAATGTTAACATTTGGAGAAACCTGGTGAAGAGTATATGGGAATACTTTGTATTATTCTGGTTTTATCTGTATTTTGGTAAAAATAAAAGTTTAAAAAAAAAGAAAACTCAAGAAATTGAAATGGCTATATTTTTACTTCATTCATTAAAGAGTTGAGCTCCTGGTTCACTGTAAGTCTTTTCAACCCTACTGTTAGCATAATTCTTGATTTCAATATCCACATATGTGATCCTCATTTCAATTCCCTGGTCTCTCATTTCCTTGACCTCTTTGCCAATATCTTGTCCTCCACCCTACCTCTATTACTCATTCATCAGCCCTAAATCTTTTATTGTCAGTTACTCCAACCCCTCCAAGTATGTCTCCAAGCAATACCTTCATCTGGTATTCCAACTCCACTCACTGACTCTACCTGAACCAACAATCCATTTATTCTACCATCTTTTCATTGTTACATAACACCCTGATGTCCTTATTTCCTTCCTTATCCAGCTCAGATTCTATAGTCTTTGAGAATAGTTCCTCTCTGTTATCCCAATTCCTTTGCCCCTCTTGCTTCACTGTACATACTTGCTTAGCTAAACCACACCCTGGTTAGATTCAACTCTTTGGCTACCATGAACCTGTAACCATGTAGCTACACCTAGCTGCAGGAGAAAGACACACAACTTTGCTGACTGGTCTCAATTTAAATCCTCAATCACTGGCTCCAGGTGGGCCCGTAGCACTGCCTGGCTAGCCTACTATAATTCCCCAATCTTCTCCCATGACCACTCTCTTAGGCGACTATTTCATACCTTTTCTTCCCTCCTCAAATCTCCAAAATCTCCTCCCCTATACTTACTCTCAGCATTTCACTGGGAAAATAGAAGTGATCATAGGAGAACTTCCCTAAGTTTCTACCACTAAGTCTTTTCACCTACTTAAATACATCTGTGCCTTACTCCCTAATCTAAGGCCATTCTCTTCATTGTTCACTATTCCCCATCTCATCTCTACTACTCATGAACAATGTCCCAGAAATTCTCTACTGTCTCATCAAATTTCCTCTCTCTGATATCACTCCCAAATTACATGCTATCATTTCTCTTGACCACTCCTCTGCCCCAATCCCCTGTCAGCCACTACCCTTTTTTCTGTTCCCTTTTATAAGGAAAGCATTTTGAGAGTTTTCTACTCTCACTCTCTCCTATTTGCTCATCTTATTTCTTTTAAAGTCCAATTGGGCTTTTCTACTCTCCCTCCATTTCACCTCTCTAAAATCCAATGGTCAAGTCTTAGTATTTATGATACCTGACCACCCTTTTCTAGTCTTTTTTGCTGGTTCTCCCATTTCAGTCTAACCACTAAATTCTGGAATGCCTCAGGTTTGGTCCTTAGACTTTCTTCTCTATCTCAATCACTTCTTTACAGATTATTTTTTCTTTGGCGGCTGGCTGGTCTGGGGATACAAACCCTTGATCTTAGTGTTATAACACTGTGCCCTAATCAACTGAGCTAACCGGCCAGTCTTCTTCACTGATTTTATCCTGACCCATGACTTGGTATATATTGACGGTACCCTAATCTATGTTTGCAACCCAGACTTCTCCTCTGAATACCAATTTCTATAATCAACTACCTACCCAACATCCTTATTTATACTTTCAAGTGTTCACTGTCTATTTTTCTCACTCCACAAGGGCAAAAATTTGTGTCTTTTTAATTGAAAGCACCCAACATTACATAGCATTTATGTGTTCAAATATTTGTTGAATGAATAAAAACACGTATCATATTATTCCTTCATTTAATTAGAAAGGATTTTCATTGGAAAAGTTTTCTGAGATATCTCTTATGACCATTTGGCCAGTAAGTCTTCATACTCAAGACCAAACATGCAAAACAGAATCAAGTGAATAAATTTCTCTTTTTGTTTGTTTGAATAAATAAGGTAAATAGAAGTTTTAATAATGTGACACTTTGGTACTTGCATTGTTTCTTCACATCTAATTTGATAACACTTGAGTGGAGTGTCATAACTATCATAATGGAGAAAAACTAGGACTACAGAGTATAGGTTTCATAAATAAGACTAAGGAATGTAAGCAACCAAAGAGGACTTCTTAAGGGAATATTCTAATAGTGTGTCAAGCTGAGCTTGTGATATAAAATTGTTTTAAATTCTAACTATTTTAAGTGTATATTATGTATCATACAAAATATGCTCGATGTATTACATATACTTTTGCACAGAATTTTGATTATTTGTGAAGTAATAGTGAAAACTGATGGAGTATATGCTATATGACAAGTAAAATAGTTATTTGGGGGGGAAGTTTATCACATTTATAATGTTACCACATGGTATAATCAAATTATATAAATAAAACTCAGCTCTGCATTAGTGAAAATATATACTTTTTTCCTGAGTAAAAGTTATTATTTAAACTCTGAAATTTATGTCAAATTACATACCAACTGTAGGATTATAAAAATATTGGATAAATCGATTTTCTGGCTCTGGCGATTGAAAGGTATGAACAAACTGATGGGTAGCACTAGTTTCATTTTTTGCTACATCTTCTAGATAAAATGCTTGTTCCAAAAGAATCTGCCATTGTACTTGAGTTCGACGGTGCCTTTGAACTGAATAAATCACCTAAAAAAGAGAATGGGAGTAGACCTGTCAGTGTTCTGATCTAATGGTATAGTTTGACTGCTCACTAGGAAACATGTTTTGGTTGTCACAACAATGGGAAAGTGCTAGTGGCGATTATTCGGTGGCACCAAGGATGTTAACGTTCTAAAATGATGTAACAGGTTTATATAATGTAACAGTTAATGCTCAGTGAATAATTCTCCCACCCCAAATGCCAATAGTAGCCATGTCAAGAAACACAAAGTTAAAACATGTCAAAGAATAATGATAAAAACAGGATCAATGGAAGTTTTAGATGCACATTCACTCAAAATCCCTTTTTTAGGGGCAGTAATTATAAATCTAACTAAAATCATAAGTAAGTAAAATAGCTATAATTAATAATTAAAGTTACCTGTTTATGCAGTTTTACCAGACTTTTTTCACTTGGGTAGCTATTATGTTTTTCGTCGAAATCTTCATAGTCATCCATGTTCCTACCCATTTTTTCTTGATACTCTGTAGGGCACTAAAAGGAACAAGAAAATTTTTTAAAATCTTAATTGCAGGTTCAATTGTCACACCAAACAAAAATATTAATTTTCTTATTTAGGTGTCATGAGGAAGCTAAGCTTCCTAGGTGCATAGAATAAATTAGTTTACATGTGGTTCTACTTCACCTTCCATCTAAAATCCCAAAGTACTTGTGTATCATCCCCTTTATCTGTATAACAGATCTGTAAAATTGAGAGGGATCCGGTGTTAATGAACCTATTTTAAATGGATGTGAGGGATGGGATTAGAGGTCATGTTTTCACAAGCATCTCTAACTGGCCTGGGGGTAAGTCTAGGATTGGACAGTATTACTGTGTTAAACCCTTATGAAATTAAAAAAAAAAATCTTAATTGCAAAAACATAAAAATTTTTATCTTTCATTCTTGAGCATTTCTAATTTTCTCAAAAAACAACTTCCTTTACTGGTATCTAAATAGTTAAATTTTTACTTGCTGAAATTTTCTTGAAAATGTTTCAAAAGATGTATTGAGTTTCTTCTCACCTCTATTAATATTAATCTTTTTGCTCAGATATACTAGCTGAGGGTGAGTAGAGGCAGGGAAACTTACCTACACAAAGCAACTAATATTTGAGAGAATAATTCTAAATACACCTTGATGAAACTGCCAACTTTTTTTTTAGCTAAATAATAAAGAATCATGACAAATCCAAGATACTCAATTTTTGAAAGGTATAGTATAGAGGAAAAAATACATGATTTGGCATACACAGCCATTTATTATCTATATGAACTTGAGCAAGTTAACCTCTCTGAATAGGTCTCAAAAAGTAGCAAATATGAGAGAAATGGTTAGAAAATTGATTCCTATGACTATAATCTTAGACAAAAGGAACACTAGGTAATAATCAGTACCATATATCTAAAATATAGAGGAAAAAAATTTTCAGTGGTTCTGTGGATGCATAAAAAACAACTGGGAAACTCCACAAATAATCATTTTTGGAAGTATAGAATATGCCTAATTCAATACCAATACATCAAAACCTAAAATTTCATAATGTCATTTATATAAAATATATCACAAAATGACATGTAGGAAGCTGACTAAAAGAATATTGAGGCCCTAGTTTATTTTTTTATAGGAGATATGCCTTTAGTGACCACAAACAATGACATGTTTAAAGGTTTATCTATCACTGTGTCACGGCAATCATTACACATTTGTCACCATCACCTCTATCTCCATATTTCAATGGAAAATACTGCCGGCACTTAACAATAAACTTGTAATAACAAAATAAAAAATTCTATGTACAAATTACTACTGGCTTATAGTTAATATTTCCATGAAAAAGAGTTGGAAAGACCTCAGCTATAGGTTGTTTTCATACTTTTCTGATGCTTTTGCTATAATTTATATAAATTTATATTTCAAAAGGAAATAGATGAGTTAATATTATTTAATTACCTTTTTAAGTATTGTATCAACACACTTTCTCAACGGGTGGTTATACTTGATGCTTTCATTCACTTTACGAACCTCCTATAAAAATAGTAAGAGAAATAAAAAGTATTTCTATTTCTATAGATTCAGACATTCCAAATGAGAATGCACTAGGTACTTACTATACATATTCTCACAAGCTTAATTTCAACCCAATTACTTAGCATTACATGAAGTTCCTTTTACTGAATAACAGTTCTTAAGGTGTTGTGTTTACACTAAGTTCAAGGGTTTGGATCTCCATACTGGCCAGCTGCCCTTCCCACACTCCCCCCCCCAAAAATTTCTTAAGAATACGTAAAAATACAAAGTCACTGAACAGCTATATCCATACCCATACTATGTTGTGTTTACACTAAGGTCAAGGGTTTGGATCTCCATACTGGCCAGCTGCCCTTCCCACACTCCCCCCCCCCAAAATTTCTTAAGAATACGTAAAAATACAAAGTCACTGAACAGCTATATCCATACCCATACTTTTTATTACTTCCTAGATTTACTCTTTCATTGTTTGATTACTTGGTACACAAAGACAAGTATTACAAAAAGGTTCACAAAGGACCAGACAAACTTTGTGACCCTAAAAGAACAGGACTGTGTTCATTCATCTTCCTCATCAAGATCAATTATCCCATTATCAAAAATACAGTGAAAAAACCTGAGGAAGCAGAAAAGGTTACAAATGTCACAAAATGCCTGCTCCTTTTCTGTAGGAGAGTACTCTAGAGCAATCAAAACCAACTGATTAATTCTACACTTGTTTATTAAGAGCACACTATATGTTTATTAAGAGCACTGTGCTGGGTATAAGGCCACCATAATCCATCCTGGAAGCGGGGAAGAAATGGATTGTTGCTCTTTGACTAAAATTACAGTCTGGTGATGAGATAATTAAATTAGCAATTTAATAAATATGAAAGTCATAAAAGGGTTAGGAAAAGGAATCTTTAGGACCAGTAGCTCCTACGAAATCACTACATTCTAAAACATTCACGAAATAAAAAAAATTTTTTAAAAACTTGGAACCACTGTTCTAGGCAGAAAAAACAGCATGTTCACAACCTGAGAAGCAACAGAGAACTCACCAGGATATTAAAAAGAACATTCTGACTGCAGGGTAGAGTAGGGCTTTAAGGGATACAGAACTGGAGGCAGAGAAACCATCTGGCATCTTTTTACACAAAACTGTAAAAAACTACAAGGTACTTCAAAAAATTCATAAAAAGATTTGTATTATTTTTTAATTATATTTTTTTCATGAACTTTCTGAAGTACCCTCATATTTGTATTACAAAGAATCACTATCCTTAATATGTGAAGAGCTCTTAAAAATCAACAGAAAAATGGGAATACGGAAAAAAAACAACTGGCCAATAAGTGTCTAAAAAGATATTCGACCTCACTAAAAACAACTAAAAAACAGTTTCAAATTTTAAAAATGAGAACAGTTTCCTTGCAAAATTATAAAAAATTGGTATCACATAATAAGGTAACATTGTAAGGAAACAAGCCCTCCTATACACAGTAAAAAGTGATATGATTTATTTGAAGGGTAATTTAGCAGTATCCACCAAAATTTAGAATATGCATACTCTGAATAATCTGTACCAACAGACACTGCTCCTGTCAAGGAATTTAATGAGGAAAACAGATGTTAATTAAATAGAAATGGTGTGAAAACTACTATAAAAAAAAAGTATGAAATGCTCTAAGGGGTATAATCTAGTGTGCAAGACTTTCTGATGAACTGATTATTTAAAATGAGATAAAACAAAATGAGTAGGATCCAGCCAACCAAAGAAAGGGGCAGGAATATTTCAGACTGAGGGACAGGGACAGTACATATGAAGGCCTCCATGCAGAAATGAACAAGTTGCTTTAAGGGACTGAAAGAAGTCCAGACTGATTAGGAAAAAGAAGAGTAAAGGCCTGAGAAGCACTTGATCAGGTTGAAGAGGCAAGAACAAAGCATTCCTAGAAGTTCTTTTTTTTCTTAAAGATGACCAGCAGGGGATCCTAACCCTTGACTTGGTGTTGTCAGCACCACACTCTCCCAACGAAGCCAACCGGCCATCCCGATATAGGGATCCGAACCTGTGGCCCTGGTGCTACCAGCACCATACCCTCCCAAGTGAGCCACGGCCAGCCCTTAGAAGGTCTTAATAATGGTTTATTTTGAGGTTGATGTGTGAGGCCTAACCACTAGAGTGACAAGATCAGACTTTGGTTTTGAAAAGGTCACCTTGAAGCATTATCACATTATAGTTTTCCATTACTAGCTGCCTTAAAGTTTGTTGATGTGTTAGCACAAATTTATTCTACTTTGAATATGAATATTGTACTTTGAATAGTTTATATAAAATATCCTATTTTTTCTTTAAATTATTTAGCCATATTAAACAAGTACTGAAACAGTTAACTATTAACATTTGTTATATCTGTTATAAATCTAAATTTTATTCAAGAGTTCATAATTTCTATAAGGTGTAGAAAGTACTTGAACTATTAGTTTGTTTCCTTCATACAAAATAACACAACTGAGTTATTACCATGTCTAATTAGTTATATTCTAAGCAGACCAGACAACATCCATGAAGGCAGGCTAATAGGCAGTTTTCAGTGGAAATAAGTAGTTCTTTCTCCCTCCCCAAAACTATCTAGAAAAAATGACAAAAGGTAAAGGTGACCTTTTAGGCTTAAATTATTTATATTCTTGTTCCATGCTTTCTTCCTACAGTCTGTACACCTCCATCAGACTGATCATTCTAAACCACATATAGGATCATTTCTATTCCCTGCTTGCAAAGTATCAATGATTCCTCACTACTTTCAAAATACAGTCTGGACTTTTCAGAATGGCATTCAAGGCCCTGCTATAGCTTTATCTTTCCAACATAAACTTTATTCTTTAATTTATTTTTTATTAGCATATTCATTATTAAAAATCATACTTATTCTTTTTTTTTTTTTTTTTTTTTTTTTGTGACCGGTAAGGGGATCGCAACCCTTGGCTTGGTGTCCTCCGCACCGCACTCAGCCAGTGAGCACGCCAGCCATCCCTATATAGGATCCGAACCCACGGCAGGAGCGCCACTGCGCTCCCAGCGCGGCACTCTCTTGAGTGAACCATGGGGTTGGCCCCATACTTATTCTTTATGCCCCTTACCAGTCTCCCCGCTCCCTACTCTAATAACCATAGATTTATTCTCTCCATCTGATAGATTAACTGTTCCTCTGTTGGTCTGTTGCCTAAATGATCTGTCCAGTACTGAGATAGGTATGATCAAGTCCTCCTCTATTATTGTAAATCAGATGCTTCTATTACTCTGGAGTGTGCTTTGTGGAGAGGACCTCCTCTTTTTTTGTTTTTGCTTTTTTGGTTTTTTGATCTCTTCTGGTGCCTCTCTTTGTGTCAATGCAGTTGAGAGTCTGGCATGCCATCTGCACAGTGGCTATTACTGCTGCTATACAGACTAGCTGCTTTTGCAGCAGCCATGGCAATTGCAGTGGCTATGGTGGGCTACCCACGTGGAAATGGTACTTTTGGTGTGCTCTTTACCTTGGTGCAGCTGAGTTCAGCCTCCCCCAGCTCCATACCTCAGGACCCTGGTGGGGCACTGGGCCAATGATGGCAGCTTGCCTAGTTGCAGCTGGGTTCAGTTTCCCCCAGCTCCATGCCTCATTCTAAGATGTTGCTGGAGCAGTTGGGGAGGGGCCAAGGGAAGGGGAAAGGGAGGGAAATAGGGAGGAAGAGGAAGAAGGAGGGGGAACATGATCGAGGCCCATGGCAGCCCCCTCATTCTGGCAGGGGAGACCAGAGGGCTTCCAGCGACAGCTTGGTCATTGCTGAGCTGGATGCAATGTCAGGGGGATGTGGCTGAGGCCCTCACCCCACCACCACCCAGCTCGGGAGCCCAGGGTGCTTCCTGCAGCAGCTCAATGGTTGTCTCTGGGCTGGTTGTGGATGTCGGGGATGGGGGAGGCTAGGGCCCTCAGTCCCACACTGCCCTGACTCGGGAGCCCAGGGCACTTCCTGTGGCGGCTTGGTGTTCATTGCTGGGCTGCTTGTAGAAGTCGGTGGGGCATGGCTGAGGCCCTCAGTCCTCCCAATCCCTGGCTTGGGAGCCCAGGGGGCTTCTGGTCCTTCTAGGTTTTATAGGTGTTCTTTGGTGGTGTTAGACCTTTACTAGTTAATATCAAACTTTGTCTCTGATCTGCGGGTATTTTGTTTTTTATTTCAGTTCTGTGTTGGATTATTTGCTGTTCCCACCACTTAAACGCTGCACTGGCACTAAATTGTTGTCCTTTGTTTAGTTCTAAAGTGGAGCAACTTCCTGTGGTGACCAGCACTTGAGCCCTGTAGTTGAGCTAAGCTAAATTGCTTCATTGCTGCTGATTCCCTGGGTAAGGCTTTTTGTGCACCTCAGGTTTTAACTGTTGACCTGGTATGTACTTCCAGGTCTCGTGAGGCCTGGTACACCTAGGATGTGTGGAAACTCTGGTCTGTTTCTGAGTCTTTTCAGTAAACTGCACCCCTACACTTCTATATTTCTGACCAGTCTCCACTGAGTGGTCCTGTGCTGATTGGAGGGCAGACCAGCTGTCCATGCTGTGCCCCAATGTTCCTCCGGTGCCCTTCTCCGCCACCACCTGCACTCCAAACACTTCCCATGGGACAGACCATATGCTGGTCCCTTACAGTGACTCACCAGCCTCTGAGTGACTGCTTTTTTCAGTTGTCTGTGGCTGCTTGCTCCTTTGTGGGTCCATGGGAACCCTGTTAGTGGTCTTGCTGCCCTGGGGGCCACCAAGGCCCCTTCTCCCCTGCCACCTCCATATATTTGTCATATATTACTGTGTATATTACTGAAAGTTATACTTTCAACAACTTTGTGAAGTTGGTTCAAGTCATCTGCATTTTATAAGTAAGTAAAATAAAGTGCCTTATTAAAATTGCAGATAGGAAACAAACTTCCATGAAAATCGTTCTCTAAAGAGGTTTCCAAACTTGGTAGGATTACCTTGGGTTAAACTTTCAAGAAGTTTCCTCTGGTTGCTATTTTCACTTCCACTATGTAAGTGTAACCATATAACTTATAATCTAATCTGGAAGACTTCTGAGAGTAAAAGAGGGCACTAAGAGTTACCCTAACACTACAGGCATAGCCCTGCACTACTGTATATATTTTCCCCGAGTCTTTGTCAGTTAGAAGATAGAAATGACACCTCAGGAAGCTGAGCTGCCAATAAGAAGTCATTGGATGAGACATCCTGAAGTATTGTACACTGCCAAATTTGCAGTCTGAATTCCATCGATGTGCTAATAACAAAAACCAAAACAGTGACTAAAAAGAGACACACACAACTTGGTGACTATTACTTATAAGTTTTAAACTTGCTTACTTCCATGACATCTTCTAAATTCTCTTCTGCATCTGCTTTCTCTGTCATCAGTTTGGCTGCCTTAAAATAAGTCTTCATAAGTAGATAACCCCTTTTTGCTCCATTCCAGTATGACCGAGGAATTTCCACCAAGCCATACCCCAACAACAACACAAGAAGAAATAGACCCCATGTATTTGCAGCAGCTATTCCAATTGTCTGAAGCTGGTTCCTAAGTAAGAGAAAACATAAGCAGCCATGATAAATATATAGTCCTACAAAAATGAAACTAAGTACTATTAAATGTTTTTTCAGAAAACTACTGCCCTAAAGGATGGGAAGGATTTAATATGAAAAAATTAGACCTTCAAATCCTTAGTTACTTTTCTAGTAACAGCAGACAATCTGTGTATTTTCATGGAAAGAGAGTGTGACTGCAGAAGTGGACTTTAACATAGGAAACACTGCTTCTACTACAATTAAAATTAGTATCTAGGATAATTCATGTTAAAAAAAAATGTATACTGTTTCCCCAAAACATTTTTCATCAGATGCTTTCTTATTCAATATTAACCAAAAGAAGTCTGAAAAAATTTTAAATTAACTCATGTTGAGCTGACTCACACAAACCTCAGGAGTGCAACAACGTTATCACTATTGCTTTATCCCTAAATTTTCAGACCTAGCTCTTCACATATATTACAGATTAAAAGCATAAAATAGGTGTCATTTTTATTGAAATATCTAAATCTAGGATAATTAAGGACTAATATGCTCTCAAACTGTAGTCAGAACAAAAAGAAAAAAAATTCACAAGGTCCAGTGAAAAAAACAGATGTTTTATCACATATAAAATTTAAAATTCTATCCAAAAATCATAAGGATTATTACTTAACATATAGCCATTAGTCAAAGCATTAATCCTTTGCCTAATAGCTATATTTAAAAATGTTATACCATATTTCCTGTCTTAGTAATATGAATTATTTGGATATTCTTTCTGGGGAATCTATAAAACATATAACTTGATATGATTCTGAATAAAATGTCTGTTTACCTGAATAGGTAAGATAAAAATTAATTTTAAAAAGCACAAACATACATAGAAACAATATTAAGACTACTTTTCTTACCATTCTAAATGCAAATGTGGATTTACAGCTACATAAATTAAAAATGCTCCAAAAATCAACAGATAGGTGCCATAATAGATTGCATTCTCAATCAGTGCAGTTTTGATCTTTCCAGTGATGGAAAAACCTCCTGATCTTGCATATGATTGCATAAAAGGTAAGAGAATCCTAGATGGATGGAAAAAATATGGTTAAAAACCAAAACAACTGATATGCCTGATTAATTTCAAAGTACTAGAATACATGAATCTCAATTTTAATGTATAGTACTTCTCACTAATAAATACTACTATGAGTAATTATTAATACTGAATAAGCTATAACAGATGATTAAATATTTCTGTAATATTAAATTTTAGGGAAGGCGAAGGTTCTAAGGCAGGAGACAGCAAGGCACATTCCTGGGAGCAAAGGAGACCACAATGACCAGCAAAGAGTGCAACAACGTGAGTGGTTTAAGATGAGTCTAATACAGGCCTTTAAAGCCTTTATGAAGAGTTTGGATTGCATCCAAAGAATAAAGAAACATTTTCTTTAACAGAAAGGAGTCATGATCAAACTTTAGTTTTCTAAGGCTTCCGGATGGAGAATGGATCGAATGGGAACAAAATTGGAACTAGTTGGGAGGGATAAGGGTGATGGGGGTGGTATGAAGCAAAAGGGGAGAAGACTGGTTGTCAACATACTGATTTTGGAGTATTTCCAAGACATCCAAGAGGAGCTGAACAGAAAGTCGTTGGCTATCCAGCTTCAAAGTTCAGGAGAGAAAACTAGAAATACAGATAGATTCTAGATCATCACTATATCAATGGTACTGAAATAGCATCTGTAGATGAGGTCTGGAAGACGTAGAATGTGAAGGAAAGACTGAGACTGACTCCTGAAAAATATCAACTTTTAAGGGAGAGGTAGAGGAGCCAGCAAAGAAAATGAGACAGAATAGTAGAGGAGCAAGGAAGAAAACCAAGGTGTAACCAGGAGAAGAAAAGTGGAGAGAGAAAATAGAATCAAATGCTGCCAAGAGGCCAAGTAAATTAAGGACCTATATGTGTGAGTGGAGTAGTGGGAGTAGAAAACAGGGTATTATGGGTTGAGGAATAAGTAAACAATGAGCAAACAGAGATACCAAATGTAGACAGTTCATTTAAGACATTTGGTTGGGCAGGATAAACTATAGTATATACATAAAATGGAGTATTTCACAGAAATGAAAAAGAACTGAATACTGACACATATGACACATGGACAAGTCATCCAAATATGTGAACAAAAAAAGAAATGCAAAAAAGTTCATACTGTATATAAATAATGTCCATGTTTAAAAGGTCACAAACAGGCAACACTAATCTGTGGTGATGACTGAGGGGGAATATGAGAGAGACTTCTGGGAGCATTGTTAATGTTCTATATCATCATCTAAGTGCTGGTGTATGGGTGTATTCACTTTGAAAAAGTCTGTCTAAAAACAATCTGTGCACTTTTTGGTATGAATTTATACTTCAATTTTAAAAAGTCTCAAAAAAATTTAGTTGTGATGAGATCAATGAAGCAAAAGCTGGAAAGGTATCAGAATTGAGACACTTTTCATTTCTTTTTTTCTTTTTTAAAAAAGATGAGAGAATTGTGCACACTTTGTTGAAATTGGAAGCTGAAAGTAGGTAACAAGAGATGAAGGGGAGGGTCCATATTTCAGAAAGAAGGATTAGCTTTAACAAAAGTGACTCTTCCATCCTTGGAGGGGAAGGATGAAAGGATGGGTAGGTAGGTAGGTTTTTGGTGAGAAGCTCAAAGAGCTACCACCTGATGACTTCTGTTTTCACCATGAGGTAGAAAGTAAAGTCATCTGCTAACAGCAAAAGCAATTTTTTTTTTAGGGGTAGGAGAGAGACAGAGCCACAAAGGCAACAGCAGAAATTTGAAGTGACTGGAAATATTTGTTGTAGATAATGGAGATCAGGCAGACTGAAAAAACAAAGAAGAAAAGTCTGGCGATGTTGAGGGTACAGTTGAGTTTAATAAACATGAATTTACAGGAGTACTACTTTACTTTGCTGCTTGAGTGTTCTCTTGCAATGTTTACTACCTCCAGTTTTAGAGCTTTGTTGCCTGCAGAATATCTAAGAGATGCTCAGTAGGCAGTGGGTAAGTGTGAGTCTGAAGTGCAACCCAAAGGCAAAGCTACAATGGGTAAAAAGAAAGATTAGGCATGCATTACTGGTCAATGAAACCATGGTAATGATTAAAGCTATGAAGGAAGAGTTAGACAACAAAATGACCAAAGATGGGACTCTAGAGAAGACAGACATTCAAGAAATGGGCCACAGAAATGAGTCCCATGAAGGAAATTCAAAAGGTTGGGCTAAACAGAAAGAAAACTGGGAAGGGTTGAGGGTTGGGGGCGGGTAGGGTTAGCTCACTGGGTTACAGCATAGTGTTGGTCACACCAAGGTCAAGGGTTCAGATCCCTGTACCTACCAGTGGCCAGAAAATAAAATAAAATAAAATACATAAATAAATAAAAAGAAAGAAAGAAAGAAAACCAAGGAGTAATGACTTTAGTAAGAGCAGGTTCATATAATAATGGGACTGGAAGAAGACTGGATTGAAGGTCAAGAAAGAAGGAAATAACTGGAGGGAAATGGTGACAAGAAAAACTTTGTTTCTGTTTTCTATTTTTTATTTGAATATTTTTTCTTTTCTCTTTTTTATTTTTTAAGATGGGAGAGGCTTGAGCCATAAGAAAGGGATAGGATACAGATTTAAGGGAAAAAAACAAATGACATATAAATAAATTCCAAAATATGAAGGTTCACTGAAAAATAATCACTTTTTTTAACTTTAGCCAAAATTTTTAAAAATTTTATCCTTTATTGCCACTTACCATGTTAAAAATTGTGATGTCCAATATACTACCCTCCAGAAAATTGGCATGATTCCATCTGGAATGTAACTCCATGGCTTGAAACATGGATGTTGGCTGTTTAATAACAATTTAAATAATAACTACTTAAATGAATTATGCAATTTATTTGAGCATGGCTAAGTTAACTTACATTCAGATTTTAAATTATTGACTCTAACACATAAAATTTCATAGAAAACTTAAAATTCAAAGCTGACTGCCAAATCAAAAAAACATATACAGGGCCGGCCCGGTGGTGCACTCGGTAGAGTGCAGCGCTTGGGAGCGCGGTGGCGCTCCCGCCGAGGGTTCGGATCCCATATAGAGACCGGTCCGCTCACTGGTTGAGTGCGGTGCGTGTGCGACACCGAGGGTTGCGATCCCGTTGCCGGTCGCGGTACAGGTGCGACACTGAGGGTTGCGATCCCGTTACCAGTCACGAAAAAAGACAAAAAGGAAAAAAAAAACAAAAACATATACAGAGGGAATGAAACAGTTTGTTCTAGAAAGGAGTGCCATTTAAGTTTTCAATTTCACTGGATAAAAAGGTGACATAATGGTCAACTAATGGAATAATAATGCAACAGTCTTTAAAAGTAAATATGTCATGAAATCAAACCTCTAATGATTATCTTTAAAATACACACTCAGCCCATTTATAGGTTTTGTTTTGTTTTGCTTACTTTGAAGGAGGTAGAGGATAGGGAGCAGAAGACATTAGGTGATTAATTCCTGGAAACTGGAATGCTAATTAGTCACTATACCATAGCTCCTATGGAGATGCATGTCAGCATCATCTATACATAATTCCGTTTGAATTTTCTGAAGACATGATGAGTCTCTGACCATAGATTCTTCCATTTAATAGTCATCCCAGACTGTAAGGATATCCTTTAATCCAAGGACTTCCAACAATACATGATTGCTTCTAATTTATATTCAGCTTTTAAGGATGGTTCAAAGGGGAGTAACACCTACATTTTAAATTTATTTTTAAGAAAAGCTGTATAAAGAAGCATGCAAATACTACTTAAAGCACTTGTAAAAGGCCATAGTCAATGTATATTAGCTTCTTACTTTGAAATTGGATACAAACTCGATACAACCTTTTACCATTTTTAACATTATTCATTCTCGATGTAAAAATATAATGCTTTTAAAGGATGTATAATATGAAAGTAAAAGTCTATATGCAGAATAATTTCCTTGTCCTTTATTACCACCTTGTAAATTAGACAGAAGAGGAAATACATAACCCATTTTTTAGATGAGACAGAGACAGAGAGAAAAAAAGGGTTTAGAAGTGACATACTGGGCCGAGCCCGTGGCGCACTCGGGAGAGTGCGGTGCTGGGAGCGCAGCAGAGCTCCCGCCACGGGTTCGGATCCTATATAGGGATGGCCAGTGCGCTCACTGGCTGAGCACAGTGCGGCTGGTCTCAAAAAAGACAAAAAAAAAAAAAAAGAAGTGACATACTTAGTAAGGGAAGAACCAGAACTAAAAAATCAGGTCTTCTTCAAGTTTCTCACTACCATCTCCTGAAAGGCCATGTACACCAATAAATATTTAAAATTTAGATTTAAATAGAATGTGATGTAATAAAAAGTCTACCAGCAAAGGATAGAGGTGGGGGGGGGGGGGGGGGGGAGAAAAAGGGGGGAAG